AAAAAGAAGAAGAAATATCCTCCAAGCTTGACTCTTGAAATTCAATCCTCCAAAAATAAGCTTTCTAGTCTGAAATTCAAGAGAAGAGAAGACATTAGTGGTCTAGAGGAGAAGAAGAATCATACAGAGAAATTAGAGAGAGAAAGGAGCCCACAAACCTAGAGTCCTTATCTCTAGAACTTCTCACTAAAAGCTCACATTCTCCACAACTGCCCACAACCCCTATTTATAGAAGTTTAGGAGTGGCCAGAACGACCCGTTTTGAATCCAGAACGGCCCGTTCTACACCCCCTCATCATGTGCAAAAATCACATGCAGAATGACCCCCGTTGAAACCAGAATGGCCCATTCTGGGATTCATCTAGAACAACCAGTCCTTCATCTAGAACAGCCCCGTTCTCCATCCATAACGACCCATTCTAGGATTTGGAACACCCCGTTCTCAACTACATTTTATAGGTCAATTTAGTATTTTGGAACGGCCCGTTCTAGTTTGGGAACGACCCATTCTAGGCTACTAAATCACCCATACTAGGCTTTTGGACCTTCTGAAATAACTTACTACTTTACAAGAACCAAGAGATATGAGCTAAGCACCGGATAAAGGCTTATCAAAGGAAGGAAAATAATGAAGCCTCACATGATACAAGACCATGGACAAAACTAAGTCAAACCATCCTAGACAGAGTCAAGAGCTTGCACAGTTGACCAGACAAAGACTCAAATACACAGATAAAAACCAAGAATGTTGGATTACGTCCGAAGTCACAACGAGAAGCACTACCTAGCATCCATACTCTCAGAAGAACAAATGAAGTCACCAAAATAGAAGAAGGGAGAAAAGAAAAATGGACTAGTGCTTATTCATAAATCAAAGTCGTATGTGTCAGTGCAAGTACACCTACTAGCCAGCAAAGGACAACACCTCTACAGCAACAATATTAGGGAAGTACAAAGACATCTTAATATCAGTCACATAAGAAAACAAATGGTACAAAAGATCTCGAGAAGTGCAGATTCAGCAAGAAAACATTTAATGCAAAATCAAAGGCATTAAATGTAATAATCCATGAAGATTGTACAAACTAGATGAAAGAATCAGATGATAGCTAATCAAACATAAAAATAAAGTCTGCTCACAGACTGAAGAGGACTACCACCAGAATGAGACACTGAAGTATCAAACGAAGCTTATGAGGAATAGTCAAGGCAAGACACAAACCAGACAAGTCGAGACAGATAAAGGAAGTGATGTAGGAAACCGAGCGTCAAGAGAAGAATAGTTGGAACACGAATATGCACCAGATGATCATAAAATACTCATTCAAAGATATGTTTAGTACAACTATCCTAAAGCGCAAATCATACGAAATATATGTCTAAGGTAAAAAAAAGTCAATTATGCATCAGACGAAGGATAGCACAGATTGAGAGACACTCCAGATGGAAACAATGTTTGTCTATTCACATTGTTAATTATACCAAAGAAAAGTCAATGCACTAAACTCAGACGCTGAAGAAAAAGTCAAGATTGAATTGCACAGGACCAACAAACAAAGATGAAGACTGCCACGTAGGCAAATAAAGAATCACATCTCAAGAAACAAGCCAAGATATTGTCTATGAACACACCAAAGCTTTCAACGTAAAACGCGTATGAAGGAACAAAGGAGAAGAGAAGCACGCAAAAGCAGAGCATGCAAGTGTCAGAAAAAGTGCATTACTTTTTTGAGAAAAGGACAACAACTATATTGTTGCATGACCAGAAAAAGACAAATAATTTCTGGGTCTTAGATAAAGTTAAACACTACAACAACATGATAGAGAAGAATACACACAATGTCTAAGAACAGGAAGCAACATTTAATGCAAGACCAAATGCATTAAATGAAAGGATCAAACTAGTCATGAATGATTATATTAGCTTCAACGAACATATGCAACGGGAAAATTTTACAGGCCTATGTAGACCCCTAAAATTGTCCGGGTCGGAAATAAAGCTTGAAGACTCTCGAAGACTGAAGGAAGATCAGCCAGAAGGACTCCTGGAAGGCCCTAGGAGGGTTCTCTGTAGGTCTAGAGGTCTTAGAATAGCTTAAAATAAGGAAGTGGAGGGAATGAAGCCCAATACGGCCGTACTAAACTTAATACGGCCGTATTGAAGCTTCAATATGGCCGCAGTGAACTCAATACGGCGTATTGAAGTTTCTG